GTTTTCCTGCCATTGTTTGAACTGATCAAAACTAAAATTTAAATACAATATCAGGCAGCGAAAGAAAAAATACTTGGTTGACTCAATGTAGTTATTCTTCATTCCAGTCTGACATGTCACATGGCACGCAACTGAAGCTGCAGTAAATAGGAAAAGAAATTGCAATAGCTTTTGATCTCCTGAAGATGGATGTGGCAGAGCAAGAGAAGTTTTCATCTCCCTAGTTTCTAACTCCGTCCTATCTCATCGAATGATTAATTGAGTTTTGAAGAGAGAAAGTTTGATTCATTATTTTTACAAGCATTTGTTTTTCAAATAGAAAATGTTTTAGCAGACTGAAACCATTTGCCGAGAACCAACTGATTGAGGCTCGTCTGCCGCTCAGCTTTGCAAAAGAATTCAACGGTTAACTATCATTAAACTTTTTTTCGTGTTTTGTAGTAATTAAATAATGTATCGCGCAAGGACAAAGAGTTGTAATGTATTGAACATTGATCGTTGTCTGACATATTTTTATAATAATAACAGAAGAGAAATTATTGTTTACCACTTCTTTTATTTCTTCATATATCAATAATAAATCATGCGTAATAGAGCTACTACGAAAAAGATGCCGCTTAGAATTTTTGTTGACGCTGCTGTCTAGGTAATGTATAAAAAAAAACAAGTCGCATGTGCTTATTTAACTGATGCATAAGAAGAAAGCAAAGAAAGAAATGGAAAAATACGTTTTTTTTAAAGTGAAGAGAAGAAACAATTACTCTCAATCATTTTCGTGTTCGCCGTAATACTCAGTTATACTTTATAAATAAATCATTATATAGTAAACCTACTTAAATGTATGTTAAAGAACAGCCCATACGCTTTGTCTTGCTCTACAAATGACATCAAGCGCTCTTATGAGGAAGATCATATTTCAGTCGAACCTGGTCGAAATGCATCTGAAAGATAGCTATCACTCAAAAGATGCTGCCCTAAACGCTCTTTCGTGGAACAAGATCTAAAAGGGGTGTTGAATCTTGTAAGTAAAAATTTCGCGGGGGGGGGGGGGGGGGGGGGG